AATGATGTTTATATCTACTGGATGGTTGTAATTTGGACTACATGACGGTATCTTGGAAGATGCCCCGGTTGTTATCTTTGTGTTGAGCTGTATTTCTTTCCCGTGATTTATTTTGTCTCTGTTCTAGTTGTTGTTGTTCTTTCAATTCTATGTTATTTCCTACTGTTGCACTTATTTATATTATTTTATTCCACACTGTTAACCCTTATATCTTATTTAATCTCAGTAGGGCCCTGACCTTTCTGTCACTACCCGACCGAGGTTAGGCTTGGCACTTACTGAGTACCGCTGTGGTGTACTCATGCCCTTTTTGCGCATGTTTTTCATGTGCAGATCCATGTACTTTCACTCAGTCTTATCATCCTTGAGGCGAGGCGCTTCTGTAGAGACTTCGAGGTATATCTGCCGGCGTACGCAGACCGATGAGTCCTTTTCTATTCTCACTTTTAAGTATTAGCACTTCTGTATTTTCCTTTCTTTGTTAGACATTCTGGAGTTAGAGCTATGTAGTATCCTTAGCTTGTGATTCGTGGGTTTTCGGGTCTTGAAAATATGTATTGGTTTTGAGAGTTAAATATTGTGCATGCCGAGCGGCACTTTTAAATGCTGTTTATTACTTTATTTCTGTTTTAAATTGTTTTATTTCCGCAAATTCGGTTTTTCTTCCTCAATTTAGGCTTACCTAGTCGTAAAGACTAGGTGTCGTCACGATGGTTCACGGAGGGCGAACCGGGGTCGTGACATGCCTCTACCTTCTGTGATGAGATCCTGTCCTTGATTTTCAGGTTTCTTTCTCATCTTCTCATTGAGTGGAAGAGCTAATGTGACGTCCTTCAGCTTAATAGTGGTCTTACCATGCAGGATGCTTGTTTCTAAATTATTATAGGAAGATATCAACGACTTCAGGAGCAAGATGACTTAATCTTCTTCCTCGATCTTTACTACGAGATTGGCAAGCTATGTGATTAATCCATTAAATATATTTAAATATGATAAAAATTCGTACATTTACCCATATATAGGGCATATAGCTGCTTCTTTAGGTACAATTTATTTGTCAGCGATTTGGACATGTATAGGCTTTTCAACCTTGTCCAAACGCCACATTCATTATCTTCATCAATGATGTTATTTACCGAATTATCTGATAAGTGCAACCTGATTGCACTAGCAGCCTTTTCATTCAAGTCAGTTCAATCTTTAAATTTTATGACATCGGGCTTCTTGGCATCACCGTCTAATGCTTTATGTAATCCTTGTTGGACGAGCAGATCCCCTATTCTTCTTTTCTTTGTTGAGAAACCATTAACTCTATTGAACTTTTCTACCTCGTACTTTATTTTAGACATTTTATCTTTTTACCGAGTATAGTACTACTGACCGTGAATAGTATTTCAACGAGTAGAACCTGTACTCTGACACCCGTTGTTGGAAATAAACCCGCACTGTAAATAAAATTCATGATAATACTAAAATATAATTTAGCATCGAGATACGTTAATCAATAAGAATAAAAGAGTAATAATGATACCAAGATTTTTACGTGAAAAATTCTTTTAAATAAGAAAAAAAAAACTATGACCCCGAGAGGAGCAACTGATATCACTATAGCAAAAAATTTTACACTTTATAGGTCGAATAAAATACTTTAAAAATTACTACAATACTCGGTAGACATAACTCTCTTTTGATATTTCCATACCTTTTGTGTTGCCTCACTATTTCTTTTTCACTTTGTTGGTGCGTTGAAAGAAGTGAAACAACACTCCTTTTATAGGAGTGCAATCCGTAGCCTTCAAGAAAGCTACATGATACAAGTCTCCTTTATTCATTTCCAAACTTGGGGTCAAATTAATAATATGCAGGTGGCTATTAGATCCGATAGACCCCACAAGAAACACACTCAATTGGTTGACACTTGAAAATTTTGCAGGTGTGGGCAATAGAAGCAGGTTTACAAAGCACAATTTGCAATTATAAATATGTGCTGGTACTATTTAATTGGAGTACCTATTGAAGCTTTACTTGCATATCTAGCTCATCTTCAAGTGAAGGTAGTTTTCACTTAAAATCAAGATTCTCTAGACTTCTGTTTACAGTTTGCACTTAAAGACCTCAGAAGTTTGTTGCCTTATTTAATCTCAGCAAACATTGGGGAAATAAGAGTTTGTTTAACGTGAAATTTAAGAAATGATTATTTGAAAAGGTTGTAGTAGTAGCGTAGAGGGTGATGTTTGTATTAGGCGCACACCACGGTTCGAACCTCGTCACGGACAAAAAGCTTAGTATTAAAGCGGAGAAAGATAGCGGGGCGAACTCATTTCATTATTGACTTTACTTTTTTTTTTCTTTTCTGTTTTTGTTATTAGGGTATATGGATTGGAAAGATATGTGGAGTACTTACTCAGTTAGCTGCATTATGCTTTATGACATGGAGAGTAGCTTGGAATGAAGATATATAAAATTTTTATGCAAATTTTCTGTGTAAAATAAACTTATAAATACCATACTAATTTCTATAGTTTAAAAATCATATTGTAGGTACTAAGGCCAAACAACGATTCAAAGCCACTAACAATATCAATGTACCAAGTCATGTCAAATGTAACGATTTAGATTTTAAAGATAATATTTAGTGTTGGAAAATATATAAGATTTGAAGGATTACCAAAGCAAAATGATACAAATCGTTAATGTTTCTCTTGTTCACGTGCTTACATTCACCGCTCTATTGAATTGAAGAGTAATGCATATAACTACAATGGATGATCCTTGCCCGATGCTTAAAACCAAAAAGATAACATATCTAACTTTTTCTATTCATAAAACCAAAAAAGAAACACTTTTCTATTCTTTCCATCCTCAAATGACAAAGTATAAGAATAGGAGAGTTGTTATGAAATAAAAATAACTTATAAAATATAAATAACAAATAGAGATAAAAAGGAGGAGTTTTTCTTCTTCAATTGTGTGTCATTTACAATCTGGTTACAAGCCAATTTATTGGCATAAAAAGGTCAAGACCACTATAGTAAAATAGTGCAAGGCATGGATATAAAGTATGAAAATTCATCCACAAACTATTCACACATGGACGTTCATCCACATACCATTTACAACGCTCCCACTTGGATGGCGATGTAAAAAAAAAATATGCATCATTAGGAGCTTAATAGGAAAAACCTGGGAAGTACATAGTTATTTATAATACACATTACTTGATGACTCATTAAAAACCTTACCAGGAAAACCCAATAGGACAAAACCTTAGTTAAGGAAAAAAGAGTACAACATGTAATTTTACTCCTCCTGATTAAAATATCATTTAAGGTCTTGGAGACGCTGCATTCCAATCTTTTATATTAACTTCTCAAATGTTGAGGTTGGTAATGCCTTAGTAAACAGATCCGCCAAATTATCACTTGAACGAACTTGTTGAACACCTATTTCACCATTCTTTTAAAGATCATGTGTGAAGAAGAATTTTGGTGAAATATGTCTTGTTTAGTCTCCTTTAATGTATCCTCCTTTCAGTTGAGCTATACATGCAACACTGTCTTCATATAATGTTGTTGGAATATTTCCTTTCAAAGAAAGACCACATATTTCCTGAATGTGTTGAGTTATTGATATCAACCAATTGCATTCTCAATTTGGTTCATGAATGTCTATTATCTCTGCATGATTTGAAGAAGTAGCAACCATAGTCTATTTTATGAACACCATGATATGGATGTACCTCCACATGTAAATAAGTAGTCTGTTTGAGATCGAGCTTTATGTGAATTAGACAAATATCCTGCATCTGCATAACCAATTAATGCTGACTTGGATTTATTTGAATAGAATAAACCCATATCAATGCTCCCTATGAGGTATCTAAATATATGCTTAATACCATTTCAATATCTTTGTTGAGGAAGAACTAAATTTTACTAACAAGCTTACTAAGAAAGCTATATATGGTCGAGAATTAATGACAAGATATATTAATGGCCCAATTGCACTAAGATATGGTATTTCGGCACCACGAAACTCTTTATCATTTTCATGAGGTCGGAATAAATTTTTGTTTATATCAAGTGATCTCACAATTATCGGGGTACTCAATGGATGTGCTTTATCCATATAGAATCACTTTAAGATCTTTTCGGTGTACATTAATTGATGGACAAAAATTCCATCTTTCATATACTTAATTTGTCGACCAAGATAAAATCTTGTCTTTCCAAGATTTTTAATTTCAAATTCTTTCTTCAAATAATTTACTGCTTTTGGAAGTTCCCCAAAAGTTCTAATGATATTTAAATCATCAACATACACAACGATTATAACAAATTTAGATCAAGACCTTTTTATAAAGACACAAGGACAAATTGGATCATTCTTCTACCCTTCTTTCAATAGGTACTCACTCAGGCGATTATACCACATGCGGCCTGACTATTTCAATCTGTATAAGGATTTTTGAAACTTCATTGAACAAGTTTCTCAAAAACATTATATGCCTGAGGAATTTTAAATCCTTCAAATATTTCCATAAAAATTCATTATCTAATGAGCCATAAAAATAAGCTATGACAACATCCATTAGACGCATATCAAGTTTTTCATGCACTGCCAGGTTTATAAGATACTTGAACATGATAGCATCCTTCTAACGACTCATTTTTCTCATTCTATTTTCGCACAAAAACCATTTGTACCCTAGAGGTTTTATACCTTCAGGTGTTCGAAATATAGGTCCGAAGACTTCACGTTTTCCAAGCGAAGTTAATTCTGCCTGGATAGCATCTTTCCATTTTGGTTGATCATTTCTCTATCTACATTCATCGACAAATTTAGATTAAAGATCCTCATCTTGTTGCATTATTTCAATAGCAACATTATAAGCAAAAACTTTGTCGATCACAATATTATTTTGGTTCCATCTTATTTTCCGTTGAGACATAACTTATTGACATCTCTTTATTCTCATTATTTTCAGGTACCTGAACCTC